ATTTTTTTTGCATTACTTTCTACTCGAAACGCTCTATTTTGTAGAGTTTCACCTAAAAATACTAACGAACTGGAGGACTGTTGCGCGAAAAATTACAAGATAAATTTATAGCTTCGTAAAAATTTTACAAAAGCTTTTTTCAGCGTCAAATTTGAGACAAAAACGAAAATACAGTCCTCCCGTTTTTCCCGAAAACCAATAAGGTTTTCTTCAAAACCGATTACAAAACTAAAAGTGTTTAATGGAAAACGCAAAAAAGCATTATTTTCTGATGATTTTCTTTTTTTCTGACAATAATGCGGTCTTTTCAGCCAAAAATTTAAAAATTAATTTTGCTAGAAAGTTCGCTTCATTCATCGGATTGCAGGGAGCCTTTAGAATATAGAAATTTTATAAAAGTATACAAAGTGCATATAAAGATATTTGCACCTTGTGAGTTTGATATGATATATGATATATGATATAATGTTGGTGTATGTGTGTGTTGATAATGTATGTAGTATTCGATTATTCGGATATTCGAATATCCGGATATTCGAGTTATGACTACACATAATTATTCGCTTTTCGAATATTCGAGTTATGACCACATAATTATTCGCTTTTAGAATATTCGAACATTCGAGTTTGATTCCGAGCCCTAATCCAAACCAAACCACTGACCTGCGAGTTGATTTTCGGTCCTTGCGCCAAACCAACAGTCACTCCTTGCCGTATTGCCTGTAAATGTTTGGGATAAATGGCCGAAATATTGCTGGCATTATCAGCATTTTTGTCAAATTTCAGTAAATCCTCGCTAGTGTAATTCACAGTGGGAATTAAGGACATTTTGACCAGCACGTGATTTTTGTGGCTTCCGATCTTGATGTCCACCGTGGTGGATTCGGTAACCGAATCCAATGGAGCTTCGCGATATGCGATTTGCAGTGGCCCCAAATCCGCGTCCACTTTGTACTCTTTTAGGATGCGATCGCGGATTATTTCCAAGTGCAGTTCGCCCATGCCTAGAAATCGGGAAATTTTGCTAATTGGATTTTCTGGAAAATTTTTCAAATACCTGCCAGTACAGTCTGGCCAGTTTCCGCATTATACGACACCCGCAAGCTGGGATCTTCGCGCTGCAGCTCAGTCAAGGCCTGATCCAGAGCCTGTTGACTGGACATGGAAGGGGGCTCGATGGAACAGAAGAACACTGGCTCCGGAATCCGGGCCCCCACTCCAAAAAGAGAGTCCGCACTCACTTGAAGGGGTGCGTCTGATTTTTTCTGGGCTTTCAGCACGTTTTTGCCAGCCCGATCGTAGGCGGTTTGGGAAGTTGTCACCAAATCCCCAGACAAAGTTTTCTAGAAATTTTAATTCCCTTTAATTTTACGCTTCGCCATGTTTTGTGCAAGGCACCTTCAGACCGGATAGCACAGCAATATTGCCACTACCCAACGATTCCACCTCCTGGAAGTCGTCGGCATAAGCGACGTAAAGGCGGCCCACTTGCTCCGATTCGCTTCTTTGGACGCTGAAAATTTTCTGTCCTTTGCGAATTGAGCCGTTGTACAGCCGCACGAACACTAAGGGGCCCTTTTGCTTGTCGTGCTTCACTTTGAAGGCTCGCCCGCAAAACGCATCTTCAAAGGCGGAAAATATTTTTGAGCTGCGCTGCGGCGTTGGTAAGTAGTGAATGACTGCGTCCATTAAGTTCTGGACGCCGATGTTTTTGTAGGAACTGCCCAAAACCACTGGGACGGCTACCTGGAACACTTTGGGGGTAATTGAGGAGGTTTAAAAACGTTCTGGTCCTTACTCGGTCTTGCGTGACCTTCTGAAGAGCCTTGATTATTTCTTGACTAGACACGGTTTCAAAGGATTCTGATGCGATTACTTTATTGGCCAGCTCGTCGTCGTGCTCAGTCAGTTGCTCTATTAGCCTGACGCGCGCTTGTTGGGCATCGGCAAAGAGCTGCGGATGTGTTTCCTCGCTCAGGTCCACTACGGACACTCCCTTAGCCCTGCTGTTTCCATATTGAAATAATTCCAGGGACAGCACGTCTACAACGCCTGAAAAAGTGGGATCAGAACCCGCTAAATCTTTAGCGCGCATTCGCTTACCAGTCAATTTGCCCCCAGCTCTTGCAGGCAGTTGCAGAAGAAGAGCAGCCAAGTCGAACTTTTTTTCAATAGAACTACAGCACATGTGGATGTCACTGTCCGCTCTATCCATTTTATTCACGTAGATAATCCTGGGCAAATTATAGCGGTCTGCCTGCCTCCAAACAGTCAACGTTTGGGCTTCAACGCCTGCAGCAACAAGCCAAGATGTAAAAGTGTGGAATCCACGACCACGGTTCTATTGATTCATGTGTAGATCACCTGGTACCTGCAGAACCATCAAGAATCATCACAACCCCATCGAGGACATTTAGCGTCTGTTCCACTTCCATCGTGAAGTCGATGTGGCCAGGCGTATCAATGAGGTTGAATTGATGGTTTTTCCAGAAAAACGTCACTGCTGCCGAGGTGATTGTGATGCCGCGCTCACGCTCCTGATCCATGAAGTCGGTAAAAGTGTTGCCATCGTGCACTTCGCCCATATGGTCGATCAGGCCTGAGTAGAAGAGCATTCGCTCAGTTGTGGTGGTTTTGCCTGAAAATAATCGTTTTAGGGATGATTAGGAGGCAACATAAGCATAAACATACTTAGTATTATTTCCATGCTATATATAAGTTTGAAGTCGTGGTAAGTGAACAGTTTTAAACTTTGAAATCCAAATTACTCTTCACGCGCAAGACTTTAAAGACACCTTAATTCATTGGAACAACCATGTTAACTAGACCTTATTTAGTCTATAACTAGTGAGGTTTCGGCTTATAAATTTGCGACGTAGTTTAGAGAGCCAAAGAACGCCTAGGCCTTACCGGCATCTATATGTGCACTAATCCCAATGTTGCGAATCTTGCTGATATCACTGTGGGGCAGTTTTACGGTGCTGTAGTGTTTGCAAATTCGTCTAGTTATCACTAAAGATAGCTTAAGCTTCGCGACTTTTTGGGTAAAATTCATATTTTTTCAAATCAGATAACCTAAAATCACCTCCTTCAAAGTGCTTCATAAACTGGGAGATAGAGCGATAATAGTGGGCTACCTGGCCTTTTCTAGCCCAAATTTTCCCAGGAATAGCGACAAATACCAGTTTTTAAAACATAATAGAGGTTCCAGCTATCGCCGAATCCAGCTAGAAACTATATTTTGATAAATAGGCACCAATTCTCGCAATTAATTTTTAAACTGCGGCAACATACTATGGCTTTGAACGCCTCCAGAAAAGTTGCCAAGTGTTGCGGTTTCTTGGGCAAACGACCGTTGCAACCCTAACCTCTACCTGTCTATCAATTTATAGACTAAAAATGAGTTTTTCAGCCCTAATTTCTCAATTTAAAAGGTCCCTCCATACCGAATACTCTGAACAATTCGTCACTTACCTGTATTGGTTTCAGATTATGTCTGCCTTCAGTTATAAGTGCACATCGTCACATTTCAACAGACCCCAACTTATTCTTCAGGGCTACGCCCTGCCTGATGTAAGTACAGAGCAGTTTTTATGGCAAACCGCTCACTCGTGACCTTTTAGGGCCGAGCCTTTAAAAAAGAAGAAAAAAATGGACCCGGCAGTAGTAAGAGCTAGAGAGGAACGGAAGAAAAAACGGCTTGAAAAGCAAATCAGGCGCTTAGAGAAAAACACCAGGCAACTGAAACCGATTCAGGAATGCGAAGTGCCGTTAAACTTACTGGATGAGAAACTGTAAGTTGTCGAGTCGACTTCCATTCAATTAGCTGAACTGCGCATTGCAGAGCGAGGCAAAGGGGCATCAGTCATTCGGCCGAACTACTAGAAAAGCGGGTACTGTTGGAGAAACGATGGGCCAACTTTAAAAGGGAACAGGTGCTGAGCGATTTGCAGACAATTGACCGACTGTTGTTCTGCCAGCAAAAGGCCCTCGATGAACTGAGGAACGAGTCTGAAGAACTGTATCAGGAGGCCATTCAGGTATAGTGTTCCAGATTTTATTCAACTAATGCAAGTGAATGGATGGCATTTTCAGTTTGACTTCCACCTGATTCCGTTTACAAGTGTAGGACCAGTTGAAACTCCGGCCATCGAGAATTACGATGTTCCTGATGGAGAGTATCAGGACGTGTCCAAGAAATGGACATGAACACCTGAACTAATTTATTAGATCGTGGGGCAAACATGCTTTTGAAAGATTTTTTGATTCATTAATTCACCAAATCCCGTCCAGAATAATAATTTATTTCCCTACACAGAAAGTAGAACTTACATTAACGAGGACAATTGACTCATTAGCATCCTTAAATCGGCGTAATTTTTGGCTGTGAGTTTTTCAGTTCTTCCAATTTTTAATAGGCACTTTACTTCTCCTTTAATTCGCTGTATTGCTTCCGTTGCAGACGAATCATCTTCAGCATACTTTAGATCATTAGATTGAGATCTTATAGGGTTTTCACACGTCAAGCCTCGAGTGGCGTGATTTAATTGCTTCTTGATTGATGGCACTGGATTGTGACGAGATTTCCCTTCAACCCTGATTTTTTTCGCTGGGGGATAGTCATCGCAATCCACGCCCCATTCAAGGCATTTATGGACGAACATTTGCCCACTTATTTGATGTTTGGGTTCGGTCTTAAATGCTGCGATACGCCCAAATATTTCCTGAGCAACGCCCGGATTTAAACTATCAAGTAACACATTTAAAACCTTCTTATGCGAGTAGTTGAAAGTCGCAAGCATTTCCAGTTCACTTTCTCGGACAGTATTGTGGCTTCTTAGAGCTAAAGTTATTAAACCTGTGGTTTCACGCAGTAGCTCTGGATCGGCTAAACACTCCGAATGGATCAAGCAATTTATTATGAATAATACTGGAATGGAATAGGATTGGTTTTTGAGCATCACTTGAAATTTGGGGAAAACCTGAAAGGTGCCAAAGTGATTTATGTAAGATGTAGATTTATATTTCGATTTAACCACTTACCAGACTTGGCTTCAATCTGCCTTCGATTATGCAACTGGCAGTAATTCTGCTGATTTTCCAGAACATGTATTTTAGAATGTTGTTACTGCATATTCCATTATCGATACGGCAGGACCAAAATTTGCTTAAAAATCCCACTATTATACTAGCTTTGGAACTGTTAATCAGAGCAAGGTCCTCTATAGTTGATAGCAAATCGATTGATTCGCCCTGGAATCAGAAGTTAATCAAATTCCTGATCAGTTTCACTCCTAAGTTCTAGAAATGCCTACAACATTCACAATCATGTTCTCCGTGATCTGATCAGTAAAGCTATGAATAGAGTCCGCAGTGATTTCCACGATGGGCTCCAATAATTTCCGGCTTTTATTAGGAAAATTGGCAAATTCCAAGAATCTCCACACTTGAATGTGTTGCTCTGGTCGGAAAAGTTTCACCACTTCTTCTTTAAGCGTATCTGGCAGAATTGAGTACAGTCTTTGAACCAGGCACTTTAGGTAACTGATTTCGGGGCGATTTGTGAAAAATCCACATTGCATTTCTTGGATCGCGTATAGAAGATTGATTAGCAATGAAAGGCATTCTTCAGGCGATATATTGCTGCAAGAGAACGAACATAAAGAAAGTATCAGCGATTGTTGGAACTCAAGGAACCCAACTTCAACATTTTAGCTGAAAAATCTAATCAAATAAACCTGCAAGTTCCCATACCTGGCAATCAAGCAATAAACCTCCAAAGCCAGAATAGCTGCAAAGCCATTCCCCTGCAAAATGTGCTTCAGTAAAACTTGCGAGCACTCGAATGTGGAGTCCTGAAGCAAAACCGCCAGACCTGCTTGCACTATTAAATGCTGATACATTTCGCCATTCGGTCCGTCCATACACAAATAACTGCAGCCTGCAACAAATGATCTCTGCCTTAAAGAACAGCGAATAGTGTTGTTTGGATGGGTTCTTACAATTTGGTAGAAACTCGAAAATGTCCTCAATAATCTGTGGAAGAACATCCGACCAATCTGAACTCATATTGCTGATTATCTGTAGTATTTTGCCTAGCAAGGCTACATATCCACACGAGGACTCCCCAAGCTTGGTGATTTTGGAAAATCCTTTCAACAGCTCCTAAAGTATTTAAAAAATTGAACTTGCGGCGTTTCCGGCGTGTTTTAGCTTGCCTTGAAGGCTCCTGATTCAGTGACTAGCAAAGTGCGTAACAAACCCTCCAACAGTTTCACAACTTCGGCATCTATTCTCTGAGTGGTTTCTTTGAGAAACGCTTTATTGGCGTGCACATCTGAAAGGTAGCTGAAAATACCCACTTAGGAGCTCTCGATAATTGATTTCCACACTCACCACAGAAATTTAACAAAAAACTCCAACATTTCAGAGGCAAACTTGCTCAACTGAGGTTTAAAGTTATAGGTGATTTTGCATAATACTTTTACTAGATAAGTTAAAATCTTCAACTGTCGCGGGAATGTTTGTGCGTCCTAGAACAGAAAATTGACTAAATTCTGCGAATTTGATTGAAAATCCTCCATAATTACACGGGGGTTTAAAGATTTCAACATCTCACATATATCATCAGTTAGCAGCTGGATTGGCACTCGAATATCCAGATCGTTCTCAATTAACTGCGAATAGTTGGAGGTAACTGTTGTAAAACATTTCCAGCTGGAAAGGATGCTGCTGGCATCAATGACTGAGAAAACTTTGGGCATTTCGCATAAAACCGTTAGGGCTGAAACAATGCTTATTTTACACAATTACAGGTTGCTCTCTGCGGCTTGCTTCACCGTCTACCAATAGATTGATTTCTTCACCATTCTCGCCCACTTGAATCGAGCGCTCGAGAAGATACAGATAGCTGGCATAAAGATGCTTAAGGACTTCGAACAGCTTGGCTAGTTCCTCATTGAAGACGGTTTTGTACTCATCTGCACTAGAAGAGGCATTTCTGTGAAATTTGCCGGTAAAAAAAGCTCGACTGGCTCCAAACCTATTCTTCCAGTGGTCTGCAGACATTTGAATAAAAAGTGGCAAATATTTTAAGACGGACTCTATGCAACTGAGCTGCATTGGACTGTGGTCGTGAATATAGTTCATAAATTCCTGGACAATTTCCGCCAGCTGGAATATCACCTAGAAAAATCGTTTTGAGAATGTCTTTGCTCTATTCGGGCACAGCGCGTCACCTCAAGATTTTCCCTGGTTAATGCGCACATTAAATCATCATCCACAGTGACACAGAATGTAGCATTATCAGCAAAAATCTACAATAAATTTTCGCAAGTTAATTGTATGTCCGCTATCGTTTCTAAAACTTAATTTAGTCTGTTTTGATAGCGGATTTGGGACTGGATGGAAACTCCTTCGATATTTCTTCCAATTTTGGAAAATAAGTGGTTTCAATCGAGTTGCAAATCCCGCATGACCATAGCATTTCAAGGACTGTATGACCTGGTCAAAGCGAGCCTGGATCAAAGGGAAAACTTTTGCGATTATTCTTTCTTCGGCAATTGAAACCTCCACCTGGTTGACCGCTTCTATTGCAGCTTTAACACTATCAACAAACGTGGCATTCGAAACACTGCTATTTAGTGAATCCTAGTGGCTTTGTTAAGGAACATTTCAAAAAGAGTCATTCTAGAAGAACGTGCTCTTGTAAGCTGTAGATAATTTAATAATAACTCCGTGGACCTTTTCTTCTACTGTAAAAGAGTTGTGGAGTTTAAGCCGATTATCTTGCTAGAACCGATTCTGATGACAAACGCTCAAATTCTTTTTGAATTTCTCTGGTAAAGACCATTTAGAAAGCGCATATTCAGAAATAATTTCCGCACTAAAAACGAGAGTTTGCAGAAGATATTCGCCCTCTTGTCCAAAATTGAAAATTAATAAAACCTTTTTTTAATTGGGAAAAAAGTGATCGAACTCACAAATGCTTTACTTGCGAAAAGTTTTTCTTAAATTAGGTTTATGATGATATTGTACGGATTTATCAATAATTAAAATCACGCTTTGGCGCAAAAAAATGAGTTTAATTGCCCCTATAAGTGTTGGGAAAAGGATACGATTTTCGCCTCTAATTCTTCCATGACCTCCAATAGTCTAAATCGTGTATAATCGTTCAATAAGCACTCTGAGCACTTTCACAGAAACTTAATGTAAGAAACTTGTCCCATTAGCAATAATTAGTAAAAACTGTTTAAAATTTGGGATCATTTAAAACTTTGTTGATGTTTCAATATCATAACCTAACTTGCCTTCTTCTTCTTCTGAAAAACTTCTAAACTAGGCCACCTAACCTAAAACAATTCAGAAAACTAATAAATGCCGTAAAAATCCTTTACATGATGGAAAATGCATAAAAATAAGAAAAATTATGAAACGTTTTTTATTAATCAACATACAGAAGTAACAGATATCACGTCGCTATGTTAAATTGTCAAAAACTTTTCTTAGGTTAGAAATATGCCAACTTTTTACGGGCCGTTCGTTCTATTTCTAGCCTTTAGCTGCTAATTATGTTGATAAAAAGGTAACATAAGTTGTCCATAGAATGTCCCAAATAATAACAATAATTGCAACCGCGCATCTTGTTTACTGTCCTTTCACTAAGGTGGAAGAGAGTTTCAATTTGCAGGCCATTCACGACATTCTCTATCACAAATGGAACATTTCCCAGGTGAGTGACCACTTACATCCACCCTCCGGCTAGTTGAGAAACAGTGCTCCTTCAATTCGCCATTGGTTTCAGTACGACCACTTGGAATTCCCTGGAGTGGTGCCTCGCACCTTTCTGGGGCCCATCTTCATCTCGTTCTTTGCCGCACCGTTTGTCTTCATCCTGAGGCTGTTAAATTTGAATAAATTCTGGGCCCAATATATTGGTATAACTAAAAGAATCACTTACACAGGCGGGAGTATGGCCGTTTTTCCTTTCAGTAAGGACCATTCTAGCGTTAACTGTGATTCTGAGCTTGAAGAAGTTGAGCAACACTTTGGAGAAACAATTTGGAAGCAGGTGGCTTCAGTGGTTCATTGCCATCACTGTTACTCAGAGCCATTTCATGTTTTATATGAGTCGGCCCCTGCCTAACATCATGGCCTTGCCCCTAGGTAAAACAGCGTGATTATTTATCTACTGATTTTGTTTACACTTTGACCCCCGTACCTCGGAAACTGTCATTTCCCACCCTGTATATTTGAAGTTGCATACTTTTCTTTCGTTCTAGTACTTCTAGCCTTGGACGGCTGGCTCAGAAATGATACCAGAAGTTTTATATGGTTTTCTGGCGGTGCCATTATAATTTTCAGATCAGAGCTGGCTCTCTATCTGGGCATTCTCCTTATTTACGACCTGTATTGCCAAAGAATCAGTATGAAAGGGTAGGTCAGTAAATGTCCCCGCTTTTAAAGGGTTACTATGTGCACCCAAGTGGGCTTTGCGGTGAAAAAAATTGAAATTCCGCTCTTTTTCAGGCTGCTGCAAGTGGCTGTGCCTGCAGGCGGGAGTTGCCTGCTACTCACTATCATTGTCGATTCGATTTTCTGGAACAGAGCCCTGTGGCCGGAAGGCGAAGTTTTATGGTACAACACTATTTTGAATAGAAGCTCCAATTGGGGAGTATCCTTTTTCACATAAAATTCCTGCTGCTTCCAGCCGAATGGCTCCTTAACCCTGCGCGCTATAGACTTCTCCATTTTTGTGGTACTTTTACTCCGCATTGCCAAGAGGCCTAGCGGCCTCAGTTCTTCTAGTTCCTATAGGCTGCGTCCTGGACCAAAGAGTGAGGAAACTTGTGGGTTTATCCCTCTTGTTTGTGTTTTTCTACTCTTTCCTGCCTCACAAAGAACTACGGTTCATCATCTACGTGTTTCCTTTTATGAATGTTGCAGCTGCTACCACTTGCCACCGAATGTAAGTGGGCCATTGAGGAATCGTAAGGACAGTGGGTTAAAAACAAGCGAATTTACGTTTTTCAGGTGGGAAAACCGCAACAAGTCACCCATCTACCACCTGTTGTCTTTAGGCGCCGCAGGCCACTTGGCTGCAAATGTTGTATTTACA